TGTGGTCCGTCTCCATAGTTACTGATGACATGTTGGTGATTCGAAGAATGTTCACGATGGATCATCTAATCTTTATTGATGTACCAACTGGAATGATGTTGAGTAGCTATTATCTGAAGAGTACCTCTGCAGGTTTTATCCCTTATGTACCAAGTTTAGTGTCTCTTTCCCATCGCCCCCCGCCACTTTTGAACCCTTCTGTTACGTCCTAGACTCTTCAAATTTTTTATCCCTTATGTACCAAGTTTGGTATCTCTTTCCCATCGCCCCCCGCCACTTTTGAACCCTTCTGTTACGTCCTAGACTCTTTAAATTTGTCGTTGGTCTTCCAAGTAGTGTGTTTTATAATGTAAGCAGCATAGCTTTATATCTATCTATACCATTTGTGAATTTCCAGTGTGCAAAGAAAGAGAAAAGTGCTGTGCATTTGCAAGATTGATAAATTTGAACCCCTAGTCTAGTTTCTAAATTTTTTGTGAAATTGAACATGAGATTGTAATGGTAAGTCACAAGTGTTTTAACCATTACATATCAAACTAAAATTGACAGTCATTTGTTTTACTATTATAAACCCCATCAGGGTATATCAGTCTTCCCACAAGAGGATAATAAGAAGATCCCAATTTCATTCTCAATTACTGCATATTACTTCTCTTTCTCCCAGTGGTTTGATTAGAAGGACAAGATCCCAATTTCATTCTCAATTACTGCATATTACTTCTCTTTCTCCCAGTGGTTTGATTAGAAGGACCTGCTTCTGCAGACACTGCAGACATAGAAATAAAATTTTAGTTAAGAGTGAAATTATGAAATTTAGAACATATTCATTCATAAACTAAACAATACACACCTGACTCAATGGTAATAAAAAGCTTGTGCTTCCAGCCAAATGGAAATGATTTCCACTGATACCACAAACGAATCGTAGAATAAAGTCCAAACTTGTGCCCTAATACTGGCCAATGTATGGAATATCTGGTTCCTTCCCCAGCAATCATAAGCACCGCTGGACAGGTGACAATGTCAGTTAACTTTGAACTTGTCAAAGTGACTGGCATGCCTACCGAAAAGAATTTTGGCGACTTTAAGAAGCACGTAGGAGGACTCGCATTCAGTAAGATGGTACCTAGAGTAAGATTGATATCTAGAGAATCACGTTCAATGTCTTCTTCCAGATTTTTGGTAAACCAAGGGATGGGGGCAGGGCTCATCCAAACAAATGTGTCATCGTCACACAAGTCCCATGAATACATCCATCTTAAATCATTATCCACCCAACCAGCCACCTGCTGGTCATCAGCCATCCCACCAGCCACCTGCAGAACATCAGCCATCCCACCAGCCACCTGCTGGTCATCAGCCATCCCACCAGCCACCTGCAGAACATCAGCCATCCCACCAGCCATCTGCTGGTCATCAGCCATCCCACCAGCCACCTGCAGAACATCAGCCATCCCACCAGCCATCTGCTGGTCATCAGCCATCCCACCAGCCACCTGCAGAACATCAGCCATCCCACCAGCCATCTGCAGAACATCAGCCATCCCACCAGCCACCTGCAGAGCCACCCCACCAGCCACCTGCTGGTCATCAGCCACCCCACCAGCCACCTGCAGAGCCACCTTACCAGCCACCATAGCTATAAAAATCAAAGATATTAATAAAGACTGTATTGACAAGTAAAAAACACTTAAACTAAGAGTGATGTTTTACCTTCAACAAGCAAACAAGATTTTGCTTGCTCCAATTTACTGATCATTTCGAAAAGGTCAGATTGACCGGAACTTCTTTCTTTTAGTTTATTTAGTATTTCATCTATTTGAAACTTCAATTGGTCCATAGAGAATCTAGAAAAGGAAAAAAAAAGATGGAAGGATACAAACTAGTCAATCTTTGGCCATTCTAAAATTAAAAAAGTATGTTCATGTTGGTAAAAGAAAGAAACAGAATGCTTCAATTCATATTGCAAACAGTAACTCATAACTAAACATATAATTGAAACCGCAGCTGATACAAACTCAGATCCCATCAATGAAACAGTAGCATGCACACACTGTTCCGATCCCTGATGTTGAAGATAATCCAGACAGATCCTAACTGAGCTGGGTTAAACTTGTGAAGAGGGAAACGGAAAAGGAAACCAACAAGTGGAAAGCTGACCTTATTGTGTACGTTGTGGGTGATACTCCAGGGTATAATTACAAGTCTAAATACATAGCCCAAAACCGAAATAAAGTCTCTGAGCCTGACATCTTTTACATGAAGATGGGTATTATGTAGCTAGATTTAAATCAATGGGATGATCCTAAAGAAATCTTACACTAATCTGAAAGAAATTCAAAGCAAGAGCAGCGCCAAATTACTCAGATATCCTAGCTAGACTGAAAAGCGATACTATCGAACAACTGGAGAGAAATGAAGTCTAATTGAAGAAAGCATAATTAAAAAAAAGCAAGAGCTACCTGGATAAAGCTTGGAGATTCCAATACTAGTTACTTATAAGCTGTTACGAAAAAAAGGAGACAACAAAAACAAATCAAAGAGATAAATGCAATTGCAGGAGGAAAGTTGGTAGATGTTGAGGATATCAAGAAGGAAATCATTGCTTTCTACAGATCACTCATGGGAACTGCTCTTCCAAGTGTAGTAGCAGTGAACAAGAAAGTTACGAAGGAAGGTCCAAAACTGAATCATGCTCAACAAGACAATACAACTCTTGCTAAAAGAGTCAGTCTCAGACAAAGAGATCATTAAACTCAATTGGAGATGATAAAACCCCGGGAGTTGATGAATATAATGCCCTATTCTTCAAAAAGAACTGGCAGATTACTAATCATGAGGTTACAGAAGCAATTAAACAGTTCTTCACTTGAGGAAAGATATACAAGGCTATCAATTGTACTGCATTTGTAAAATGAAAGAAAAACAGACTGTTATAGATAGTAATGCTGAAATTGTAATATCTGTCACTCGGTAATCAATGAAATCTATTAGTTACCAATAAAAGCAATGTAACAAAAGTTATGAGTTTGACAAGGCAGCAGCTAATAGTGATATCAAACACAATAAAATGCAGTATATGATGAAAATAGAATGTCAACAACAGCATATAACCTAGCAGGAGTGAAGGATGAAATGAGGCAGAGACTATTGGAGTTAACGGGCTTTGAGCTAGGCAAGTTTCCTAGTCGGGGATTCCACTATCGCCAAGGAAGTGGACTAAAATAGAATGTCAACAACTATGTACAAGGAACACTGAAAAGATCAGAGCGGTCTTAACTAGACACCTTTCCTGCATAAAAATGAAACTGCACCTACGCAGGGCTTATATGGAACAGAATCACAAAAGCAGAGGTTCCGACTTGGGATTGGATAGCGAAAACCAAACATGTAAAAGTAATATGGCGGAGAATACAGAGCACCTATTAACATAGCCATATTTTCACGTCAATGTAAGCGTGAGCAAGGTACATGGCCCAAGGTCCATGTCAAATGGACTTTGGACCTAACTATTCTTTTCAAAGGTCACATCACTAAGTTTACAAAACCAAAACCACAGTAATACACATAAGAAATCAAAGCAGAAATCTCCGATTAACCAACATGCTGTCAGCTCTAACAACACCAAAATTCAGTAAAAATGGAATCAGCATAAACAACAAATCAAGAAAATACTCGAAGCGTTCAAAAATTAACATTAAAAGGCAACATATCTTGACCTAAACGTCAGCAAATGAATACAACCATAGACATACTTCAGAAGAAATGAAGCGCTGAATTATTCCATCACCACAACACTGAGCTTACAAACCAAATCAAAGCTACATCTCTAGAAACATATAGCAAAAAAGTGAGGAAAAAGTATCAATAACTATGTGTGTGTGTGTAACAGGAAGTTCGGAAGAAATGGAATGCTACACTATTCCATCACCAAAACAAGGAATAGAGAAGACCAACCACATCCAAATCTAGTAATCTACACCAAAGAATAGGAAAAAAAACATAAATAATCACACACAGAAACACACAAAGATATTTACAGCTACATGTCTAGTATACAGGGAAAAGATGAACAAAAAATATCAATAACCATATGTGTGTGTCATGAACTTCAGAAAAAATTCAGTGCTACATTATTCCATGACCAAAACGAGTACCAGAGAAGATCAAGCACAGCCTCAAATCTAGTATCTACAGCCAAAAAAAAACATAATGTACCGCTACATAAATAGTCATAATATACACCTAAAATTGAAAGAAAAAAAATATCAACAACTATATGAGTGCATATTATGAACTTCATAAGAAATTGAGTGCTACATTATTACATCACTATAGTGAGTAACAGAAAAGATCAAGCACAACCTCAAATCTAGTAATCGACAGTGAAAATAAAAACAAAAAACATACTGTACAGCTACATATATAGAAGTAATATACACCGAAAATTGTGAAGAAGAAAATATCAATACCTATATGAGTGCGTATTATGAACTTCAGAAGAAATTGAATGCTACATTACTCCATCACCAAAACAAGTTACAACGAAGATCAATCACAGCCTCAAATCTAGTAAACTACAGCGAAAATAAAAACAAAAAACATACAGCAACATATACAGTCCTTGTATACACCGAAAATTCAAAGAAAAGAAATATCAATAGCTATATGAGTGCATATTATGAAAATTGAGTACTAAATTTATTCCATCACTAAAACGAGTAACAGAGAAGATCAATCACAGCCTCAAATCTAGTAATCTACGCCAAAATAGAAACAAAAAACATAATGTATAGCTACATTTATATCACTAATATACACCGAAAATTCGAAGAAAAAAATATCAATAGCTATATGAGTGCGTATTATGAACTTCAGAACAATTTGAGTGCTACATTACTCTATTACCAAAACAACATCCAAAAATCTAGTAAACTAGAGCAAAAATACAAATTAAAGCATAAATAACACATCTAGTTCTAGTAATCTACAGCGAAAACAGAAACGATTACACTTACAGAGAGAAGAAATGTACTGTTACATCTGTGTGTATAATATTATGAAATGGATAGAATTCAGGAGAAAAGCGGCAAATGTGAGTGGAGAAAACGAGTCGATCAGTAAACTGTTTCACATTCACCTTAGCACGGCAGAGATGAAGAACTTGCCGTCGTTACGCGGAGGATCGGAGATGAGAAGCAGCGGTGACTGTGGCGGGAGAATGAGAGAAAATGCCGCCGTAGAACCGTTTTGGACTGGAATCACAGCTTTATTCTTTGTTGGTCTTTCATATATATATATATATAATATAGGGGCGAAAAGATCAATTAATTGAAACTAATTTGACTTTTTTTATATTTTTAATTTTATTTATAAAAATGAAAAGTTCTTTTATTAATCAAATTATTTTTAAAATGTTTTCCCTTTATGATGGTTTTGTATATTAATTAATTATACTTATAATAAATATTTGCTTCATTTTGAAGTAGTATGGTGGAGTTTCACCATTGTTTTTTCTCCGATTTTTTTAGGATGAAATATTCGTTGATAGTAAACATGAATATTATTGCGATAGAGAGAAGAACTTTTATTAGCTTTTTCGAAAAAAATTTAACGGACAATTTCAACGAAATCTTTTAATTTCTTATTTTACTATATCCAACTCTATGAATACATAAATAGCTATAACAGAGTTTTTCTTTTACACATTAATAACCACTCTAAAAGGGGAATAATCTTATGCGGCGCTAATAATTTAATGTAATAATTCAATTTAAGTCCTTACATTATTTGGAGACTGAATATAGCAAAAATAGATGTATGGTCTAATGAGACTAATATAAAACATTTCTCATGAGTGACTTCATAATGAATATCATTAGTCGAGCTTCAAAATGAATATCAAACAACAATAATGTATATTTATTTAACACCCCATATACATGTATTCGTTTATCTCCAACAAATTAATATTCTACTACCCTGTTTGTTTTTGTTTTATTTATTTATTTGTATCTCTAGCTATTATTAATATGATTTCCTAAGAATTAAAATGTTATGAACTTATTGTTTTTGTGAATTTTATCACGAGCAAAAGTTGATGGTAAAATATTATTTGCATTAAATCTATACATCAAATCAATAAATATATGATTTGTATTTGAATTTATAAAACTATCACTTAATCATATGATTGGAAGTTTTGTATGGTAAAATTCAACTAGAGGTAAGTTTTTATTTTGCCAAAAGCTCCCATATTTTGCCCATTTTATAAAAGGGGTAGAAGTGTTTAAGATTCAACTTTATGAATTCAAACTGTTGCCAAGTCCATTGACATTAAACATGTGTGTATACATTGTAGATTCTTAACATATATACGGAGCAAACTACTGGATTCTGTTGAACCCGTATATTATACTGTGTATTCATTTTCGGTAGATTACCAAAAATGTCAATCTAAATCAAAGATCAAATATCCAAATACAAGCCATTCCATTATATATAAGTTATAACCAACCAGTAAGTCAATGACAAAAGCTCAAAAGGAAACACAGAGAAAAATGTTATAATGACAGCATAGATGATACACAGAAGAGATTGATATTCTCCCCTTTACAGCACACAACACTTCTTCATGGCCTCAATTATGTATGATAAGAATACACTGCAAAAAAGAAATTAACTTAGTATAAGCTTGGTAAAAAAGCACCAAAGAAATGAAGCAAGGTATAAGGAGAGAATAGCTGGTCGGATTCACTGTTTACTTTTCTGAGCCGGTATATGTCGATTATACATGGTTAGATACATATTATACATCCGCCGACTATTTTTAGTTTAAGCGATTGAATGGACCACTACTTGGGTTAATTCTTCACAAAAGGTACCAAGGATGAAAAGGAGGTTAAGAGGTCAACTTACCAACATGCCTAGAGACCCTGTTCAATGATATAGTCACCCAGCCTTTCAACAATCATATTACACTGGCCAGGAGTCATCAGCTCGTCATATATTCCAATGATCAACGCCTGGTTAGTCTTCTTAACAGTGATACCACCGGCACCCTGAAAATATGCAGGACATAGTCAGGATGAAAAATTTTAGAAGGTAAGTGTTGTCATGAGGGGGCTTCATCATATAATCTGAGCTAAATTCCAGTATCTCGTTTACGCATCGTGTAATCTACTTTCATGGATTACAGCAGAGAAGATTGACACTTCAATGGTCTTTGTTCAGAAATAATTAAGAAAACAAAAGTGTGTTCTCTAACAATTCAAACTTTATATTAGATGGTCACACAATTCCAACATGGTATCCGCACCGGCAGAGGTCGTAAGTTCAAATACTGTCACTCATTGACGAGAAGCATTTCCATGTGTTTGAGCTATGAAAAAGGATCAGATACACACATGAGGGGTGTGTGCTGAGACATAATTATGTAAATAAAAGTCTAGCCACTTAATAAGATGGTCACACAATTCAACAATATTTATTTGAATTGGTCTTCACAGATCTAAGTTGAAACGAGTGGATCATCTTATGGAGAGAGGTAATAATAAAAAGAAAAAAAGTGTTTTTGTACCAACAACATTAGCATAAATGCCACAAAAGTTAAGCTTATTTTAGCATCTCGAAAGGTTCAAGTGAGAGTTTATGACAACTTTTTTTTGGACAAGGATAGTAAACTTTTTTTATTCTCGGGGTTCAAACCTGAGACTTGTGCCGTGTTTAGATTAAAGATACTCATTACTTCACAAGAAGACTACTTGCAAGGCAATAGTAGGAAACCAGGGTCTCGTACCTTCTTGCCTCGTATAACAGCTCCTGCCTCCCCTTGAATCACCATACACTTTGTTCCCCCAAGATGTAAAGTCATTCATTATGGCTGTTATTTCTTCTGGTTTAAACTGCCAAAAAAAGAACACCATCAATGACAAGCTCACCAAGTTAGTTTCTTGTCAGTGCAAACTCTACATTGCTTCCAACAAGCCTTCGCACACAGGAATGACATTGAATAGTTTAGTAAATGAAGAAATTTATTAACTTAGTATGAACCATGAAAAAAGATACTAACACCAAACGACCTCATACATCCACCAAACTATCAACTTCATAATTAAAAATCCAATTTTTATCATGCAATTTAAACACAAGCACAACTGAAAAGCTTAAGAAATAACAATATTCAGGTTTTTTTCTACAAGTATATACAACAATTCGATTGCCAACTCATGCTAAATCAGTAGTTTTCCTATTTATTGACTGTGGCAAAAATACCAGTTTTGCATAAAGACAAGTCATACGGGGAGATATCAACTTCTTGTACTGTCTTTAGATGAAGATATCAACTTCTACCAAGCTATTACAGGGACCAATGTGGAACTTCTACCGCTACACGCTGACATCAAACTGCATCAACTGAGCAGCCTGTTGGGGACACTCTGACCTTGACTATTTGGATTAATGACTACGGTCCCCGTAAGAGCTAATACACCCCGTAAAAATTAAACCTTTGACCTGAGGAAAATTAGCAGATTGAGCCCAAACGGAACCATCCTGACCGATGATAGCAGCAGAAGTGAGATGATTACCTTCAATTTCACACATCAAATGATCATCAACATACGTTTGCCACGACATCTTCTTCTTCTTCTTCTTCTGCTTCCGCTGCTGCTGCTGCTGCTACTAAGTTTGGTTCAAGATCTGTGAAAAAATGGAGATAAATTGATGGGTTTTTCTAGAAGTTGCGTTGATTTAAAGCTGCCGCCTACTGTGATGACTCTGTTTTCTTTAATGTGAATTGGGGAATGGTCCTTTTCAAAAAATTTCCTCTGTTTTTCAGTGTTTGGTGCAGAATTAACTAATAATTCAAAGTGCACTATTATTATATTTCAACAATCGCGATAAACTGATAAATACTCTTTTTAAATATAAAGTCGTTTTTATTAAAAAACGTTTTTAAATCGTGCACTATTCATTTTTGGGTGGAGCTTCAAGCAGAATTTTTTTTATATTGATGGTTTGAGTTGTAAGTGTTCTAGCTATATATAAAGTCGTATTGTGAATATAGAGAGTCTCTAATAAAACAAAATATTTCATCTCTCAAAGTGATTTTTTCAGGTAAATTTAGATTAATCTAATTTTAAAGTATCAATTAATATCGATTGAGAAGTAAAAAAATTAATTGCGAAGAGAATGAAAAAGAAGGGGGAATAATTGTATGTATCTTCTATTCGTTGATTTGAGAGTTGATGTCCAAAAGTTCTTATTGTCATTTTGTGTGAGATATAAAGTATAATCAATTTAAAAGATAAGATGTAGGACAAGGCCTCCGCAGAGGAAGGTTTTTTTCCAGCGAATAGAAAATACTCAACTTCGCACAATATAATAATTAACACACTTTCGAAAGAACATAGAATAGTAGAAGATTCAGCATGCAGAACACTACAATCATATATTATTATAAGCATGAAGCTCTAAAGTGTAAAGTTGAATTACTATTTTGTCCCTATATTAAATTAAAAAGTAATAAAATATCTAATTAATTAAATATTAAATATGCTTAACTCTAAAGTGAAGTTGAATTACCATTTTGACCTTGTACTAAATTGAAATTTGATTAATTATTTAACATTTAATTAGTTATTTAAATATTAAATTGTCTCATTTTAATAATAAAAATATTAATAACTTTTGTACTTCCTTAGATTAATTTCTAATTAAAATATCTAATTTAATAATATTTATCATTTATTATCTATATGTATATTTAATTTAATCTCTATCATATCATATAATAAGCATCATAATAATAATAATAATATAATAATAATAATATACTAAACATGGAAGGAATATTAGGCAAAAATTAGATTACATTTTGTCCCTATATCATATAAAAATATTAATCGTCTAATAATTGTTAACTAAATATTAAATAGTAAATTTTAATTAATATAAGGGAGGATTAAACATTAAGCAATATCAAATTTATCAAATTCTTCCGGTTACAATTTATTTATGTGATGGTTAATTAATATTAAATTGTTAGAAACAATTATTATCAAGAAGACAAAAAGACTTCTAATGATATTGTTCAATGAATTAAAGGTGAAGACTAAAGGTTACAAAATTATTAGAAAACTGATAGGTCTCTTTTATTTTTTTCCTTTCATCTCCCCTCACCTAAAATTTTCCTATTTAAAGTCACCTAAAAATGAAAATCTATATATCTATATAAATCTGGATATAAGATTGTTGATGTGGCACCTCTCAAAAGCTAGGATTATTAATTATCTTTTTTATTATTTTTTGTACTTTTCCTTAATTTTAATTTGTGTAATATGTGAACGATCATTTGCACCTTTATCTTTATTCTTTTTGTTCCATCGCTACTAATAAATGTATTTAAAGGACTCATAAATAAAATACAAATAAACGTTGCAATAACAAGCCATCATTAATTTCACCTTAAATGACTATTATAACCGCTTTAATATGCACTTAAAAATCATAATTTGAAGCAATATTAGAACCGATATAGTTACTTTATGCAAAAGTCTCATCACAAATTTGTTATGCAAATTGGCCATCTATTGCATTTCCCCAATATTTATAAATAAAATTGACCCTTCTCCCCAAGTCTATACAACATCAACAAACTCAATCATGTTTGCGTTGTGATAAATTTTTTTTAATCATAATTGTTTTGAGATTATATGCAGTTACGGATCATTATCGATATCCAAATATCATCATTCAAAATGTTATTTTTTTCAGATAACAGAAAGATCTCAGGTAAAATGATTAAGATCTTGGGCATTCATTTAAGTGAATATTATCACTGAAAATTTCATATTTTGTGCAGGCAATAAAAATATCTCAGGTAAAATTATTAGGATCTCAAACATTCATTTAAGTGAATATCATCACAGAAAATTTCAATTTTTTTTGTAGGTAACAGAAAGATCTCAGGTAACATTATTAAAATTTCAGGCATTTGTTTATGTGAATGTCATCAACAAATATTTTTTTTTTGCAGGCAACAATTATTAGGATCTTAGGCATTCGTTTAAGTGGAGCACCACAAGTATATTATCTTTTCAAATGTTTCTATCATAATTTTCATAAGTTATTCATTTGTTCTGTTTGTGGAGTTTGAATAACATTTCTATCTGTAGAGTGTATTAAGGCAAAAGAAAAATATAAAAGAATTGGTGAAGAACAAAGGAACAATCAATTAAAGGGGAAAATCTATTTGGTTTGTATATTTTTCTCCAATGCCAGATGGTTAACAAAAAAAAGAAAAATCGAGCATGTCGGTACTTTTTGTTATAATTATACAATAACTATAGTATCTAAGAGAGAATAATAACGAACTTGAAAAACACACTATTAAAAATTTAAAACAATTTAAAATATGAGTTCTTGGTCGATAAAGCACTATCATTCACAAGTATTTTTGATATCTTTGACTCATCTATTTACCTACCATTGTTTTTGTTTCTTCTACCAAATAAAATGTTACTATTGTTATCAAATAGAATGTTACGCACACTTTATATGAAAACTAACATGCTAAAAATTTATAAAGTATATATATATATATATATAAACGCAAATATAGGAGATGAATGAATAATAAAACAATTCTTTATTGTTTTATAACATTCAAAAAAAATTCAGCCAATTAGCATTTAGTTCATATATAAACCATAGTAGTAAATCAATTTTTAAATTAATAATGAATTTGTAAAATGGATAATGATACCGCGCGAAATCTCATCTGATCTTCTTACTAAAGTATGTTAATATGTCAGTTTTTGAAAGTTATTTTCATAATTGTTTTAAATGTTCTTTTATAATGTTTCTCTTCTTATTCATTTTAAGTTAAATATGTTTTCTATTTATATAAAGAAGTTTATGTTTAAATAATTAAATAGATGTTACTTATTTGGATATTATAAAATTATTGGTGTAGAACATGTACAATACTATATATGTACCATTTACAAATTATTGATTGTAGTACAAAATTTATATTAAATAGTTTAAAATAAACGTGCAACGCACGTTCTGAAGACTAGTATTATTATAAGCATGAAGCTCTATAGTGAAAAGTTGAATTACTATTTTGCCCTTTTATTAAATTAAAATTTAATTTATTGTTTAATTAATTATAAATATTTTAATTACACAATGATATGTATGTATCATATTCTTCTATTTAATTTTCTTAAGTATTTAAAATTATGGAGAAACTTTTAATTTATCCAATCAATGAATTTCAATAAGTAAAACAAAGGATGAGATTTCTAAAGTCTTTTTGTTACTCCTATTTATTCATGCATCACTTAATTACGGAAGTTGAAAGGTTTTTTCAGCTTTAAATTTTGAAGACACTACTTAACTTACATTAATTACAATGAATATGGTAAATGAAAAGATGACTTTTTTGAACTTCATTTCATATGTTACTTCAACCTTTCTAATTAACTTGAATTATTTTTATCTTCCACATATTATTAAAATGTATAGATATTTAAGACATGGAGAAAGAAAATAACAATACAAATCAAGAGCATTCAAAAGTACAAGAATTCATATTCCAACCTTTTTTTTGAAAATTTTCTTGGTCTTATCTATTGCATGAAACTATATAATGGCACAATATGGTTCTAATACATTTGGAAGTGCTATTTTGACATTTAGATGAACGTATTATTAAAAGAGTAAGTCACAATTTAGCTAACATTTTTCCTTGTTGCTTTTCGTTTTAGTTTTGTTAATTATATT